ACTTATACACCACAAAAGTGATGTGTTTTGATACATAAGATTAGTGAGTTTTTCATAAAAACAAGGCAACAGAAGATATAAAATTTACTATAAATTTTTTAGTATATTTTCAAAACAAAACTACCAAGGATCCTTTGAAAGAGGCTAGAATGATATTAAAAACAATCATTGGTGTTTTAGAATAGCAACCTTTTGACCCTCTTTGGATTTGGTGTGTTGATGAAGATAAAAAGAACAATGAGCTTAAACTTCTCTACAAGTATCCACCACCAAGATTAAGTTACCCAAAATGCTTGATTTTCTTCTTGAATGTTTTATTCTATAAGCCTTTAAGTACTCAATTAAGGATTAATAGGAAGACATAGAAGGCACCAAAATCTAAGCACCAAACTTCAAAAGAGAGCTTTTATGAAGAGGAAAACCTACAAATTTTGAGAGGAGAATAAGGACCATTTAGTCTCACTTACGTATCTCATGCAAGGTAAGTTCCAACCTATTAGTATAATCTAAAGTATATAAAGTAAAAATAGACAAGAGGGACAAGAGAATGGAGTTGGACAAGCAACCTCCATGCCTCTAGGAATCTTATGCCCATGAGGCCATTAGAAGACAAACATCGTCTTCCAAAATTCTTTAATCAAAAGTGTTGATAAGATAGTTAAGTGATGAGTATTCAAAGTGTCCAAAACATTTGTACGTGACTTACTAATTATACCATATGATATAATAACTAGTTTGTTCTTACTTTTATTATTGTTTTCATAAATGAATATTTATTCTAATTAAATATCATAGTTGAATTTATATATTAATAATCAAAGTCTTAATAAATAATCAATAAGTACCTACTTGATTAATATTTGAACCTATATGATCATTTATCATTAAGAATATCAGTCAGTAATGATTCTTGAACATATAGATCAAACAATCTCCCACTTGCACAAGATTCATTATAGACTAACATAAACAGTAGTTGGCATCTAGCAATGGGCTACTGCACTTAACAAAACATGAAGGGGTTCCATCAATTAACATTCAATTCCAGGATTTCAATAGCTAAAATTGAAGTACAAGGTAAGTGTATCAATATTCTCTTTGTCACAGACATCATGTTGGATTTGAGACATGGAGCATAACCATTCTCATTTGACATCCAACTTTAATAAGGCACCTTAGATGTCTAACTATCAACACACAAGAGGAACAATTCCAATATTCACCACATACACACTCTTATATAGTTCATGATATACCCAACGAAGTCTTTTATGATTGCACAATTACAAACAACATTTAATCATGTCAAAGTATAAGAATCTCCATATCAGAGTTTCCAATACGTATCTCAGGTCAAAAGACATATAGATCTTTAGATGTGTTCAAGACAAACTTATGATAATGATCCATGAAGTGACTCTTGATGTGGGTCATATGCAATAGCTGTTCTCTAACAAGTATATATGAATTTGGATGTAACACTTTATGTAATGCCCTTAGATTCGGGCTAGTCAATTTAGAGACAATGAGCGTCAAAAATGACTTTTTGATAGAAGATTATTTACAATAAATAATCTTAACCAACTTATAGTATATATCACAAAGGTTCCGTACATATAAAGAACGCCTAAATCCGAGTTATAACGAAGAAGTTATGACCTGTCGAAGTTTTACGGCAAAACCAGCACGGCACCGAGAATCGTAAAAAGTGAATTTTTGATAAACTACTTTTTAGCGTTAGATTCTAAATGAAAGTTGTAGTATATGTTAAACCGAGACCGTGCATAAAAAGAACATCAAAATCTGACTTTGTATGAGGAAGTTATGATTTTTCTACAATTCGAATATTAGATCGACTGATTTTTAGCGAACATAACCTAAACAAGAATCAAAGGTCTCGTTAATAGTAGCTTAACGGTAAAAAGACAGACGAAAACGGACGTCAGATGAAGAAGTTATGAATTTTTAATGGAGTTTTCCTGTCCTGGCCTATATAACTTTACAAAATAATATCAAAATTAGCCAACAGAGTCTAAATAAAAGTTGTAGAGTAAAGTCCCACCTACGCGTGGATATAATGAACGTCAAAAACGGAGCTCATATGCAAAAGTTATGGATTTTAGAATATAATGAGTTTTTAGAGTAACCAGCGAGTGACACATGGCACAATCTGAGCCGCACCTTCTTCCCTACGACTTTGCATGAGATCACGACACTTGGCACATTACGCTCAGCATAATTTTGAGTATGCTTAGCGTAACCCTTAAAAACCCATTACGCTCATCGTAATTCTTGAGTATGCTCAACGTACTCGGTGCTGACAAACTATAAATAGAGACGTTTTTCCTCATTGTTCTTCACACCTGTTCTCAACTTCTCTGCGAAATACCTCCAAAGCCTCAAGGATTTTATCTAGCCTTTCTTAGGAGTTAGTATCGAGTCCCAGAGCACCACAAGGCCCCGAGAAGAAGAGCTTTTGGCTCAGAAGTTCTGCCCGCGTAGAGCTTGGTTCTTCCCTAAACTCCAATATAAATGAGTTATGCTTACCCTACTTTAAGTATAGCTTATGTTTAAGTTCATTATCGTTATTATGAACTTATAAACAAGATTTATCAGTGATTCCAAGTCGTTATACTGATTGTTCTACTTACGGGGATGATGTTTAGGCTATGATTTAGTGAGGTGTATAAAGTGGGATTTCCAAATAGTATACTTCATATACCAAATGGACCCTACCTCCGATATGATCCTACCTGGTTGTTCCTTACTTGATATATGATGAAAGTAAACTCTGAGTTAATGATGAATCTAGAATAATAATTAGTCCCAATAAAAATTAGATAAAAATTTAGCGATAATAATGATCGGTTTCATCGAAGGAAAAATAGAATTGTTAGAAGTGAAGCGTTGCCCGAGTTTTGGAATCATCAATTTGACAAGTGAGTGCATAGTCCCTTTCATTAACAGGATTTAATACAAGTATTGATTGAAGTATTAAATATATGTTTATGTGCGAGTTATTTGATGTTGCCTGAAATACGTGTTAGAGAGCATACCTTATAATATATGATGACTTAGGATAAAGAGTAAACCAAAGTTAATTATTAAGAATATTGGGTATTATCTTCTTATAAGTACGAGTGAGATATACACGGAGAATAGAAATTTAAGTTATGTCATTGATCTGAGAGAATGGATTAGACATAGTCATTCGTCCCTCGTCCGAGAGTATGGATTAGTCACAATCATTTGCTATTAATCTGAGAGCATAGATTAAGACATAGTCAGTTGTCCTTAGTCCCAAATTATGGATAGGACATAGTTATTTGTCATTATTCTGGGAGTATGGATTTAGACAAAGACTATTGTTCCAAGTCTAAGAGTATGGAATGGGCACAATTATTAATCCGAGAGCATGGATTAGATCTGGGGGTATGGATTAAGTAAGAGGTATAATTTGAGTTCTAAGAGTATGGATAGTGTCGTTGAGCGGATCGATGGTGTGGGGTAAGAGTTGCTTATATATATATATATATATATATATATATATATATATATATATATATATATATATGGTGAAATTTTATATTTTCTGAGTTATATATATATATATATATATATATATATATATATATAACATTGTCGGATTGAAATCCCTATGTACTTACCAGGTTTCCCAACCTGACTCGCTCAGTTTATTTGTATCACATGTGTCGATATGAAGCTACATTACACTGAGAGCTAAGGAGATGTAGATCACTAGTGTAAATGAATGCAATGTCTGTTTATGCTTACATTTCTATATTGACGATGACATCCCAAAGTTTTAAAAGGAAAAATTACATTTCTTCAGAAATGTTTTGATAATGTAATTATCATTTTTTTTCTAAGAACAAATTCCGCAACATTTTTATTAAAAGGGTACTCTGATTTTTATAAAGCATAAACAAAATCGGTCTTTTATGTCCGTGAAAATGAGGATGTCACACTTTACTATTTCACCACTTGAAATCAACCAATCTCATTCATATTAGTCGTAATTCATAGTTGCTCCCACAACAGTGACTAACTATAGACATTTTTTGAATAATGACAATATTTAAGGATTAAATAACATGATAACATAGAACACAATAATATTTAACACAAAAGAGATTACATATCATTGCTACATAGTTCATAATATCTAGAGATTAGTGAAGTACAAATTCTAAATCCAATCACTAGCTAATCGAAGACCGATTCCTTTTGCATGGCTCACAAACTTGTTTGAGAGAGAGGCTTCGTCAATGGATATGCTAAATTATCATCTATATTAACATTCTCAATGCGTATATTTCCAAATTCCAATTCTTGACAAATGAAATTGAATTTCAAATTGAATGTGACTAGTTTTCTTGGTAACCATTGGATCTCTTGCGATAGCGATAGGACCAGTGTTGTCACAAAGCATCTCAATGGCATTTTTGATGCTTGAAACACTACTAGAGAAAAGGCCTTTTACGATGCGCAAAATACGATGCTCATTGATCTATGTTACGCAAAGGAGAGTGACATTAGAAAAATGTCATCTCTTCAAAAAATTTAAGGATAGAAGACACGCATTATTGCGCGCCCTTAAATCAGTGTCTAAAAAAAACACGGAGGGCACCTATAATAAAATGCGCGTCGTCTAAGGATGTCGCTTTATAATTTTTAATGGAACGCGCGTTCCATCCTTTAACAGTAGGGGAAATGAAATTCTGAAAAAATTAAAAATCCCGCCTTCCTTTTTTCTCCTTTCCCTCTTGCCCAAATTATGGACGCTCCTTCCTTCCCCCTCCCGACATTGACTACTGCCTACTTCTTCCCTCACTTCTACCTACTGGAACCACCATATCTCCCACTCGATGTTGAAATTGTTAGAAAAAGCCCTAATTATACTCTCAAGTCTAAATACAGAAAAAATAGAAGATGGTGAAGAAGTAGCAGTAGAGGAAGTGGAGGATGAACAGTCGAAAATGGAAGGAATGGCATCAATAGCGTTGTTACTAGATGGGTCAATCTCGGGTCATTTTGTTCAACTTCCCGAGTCCGTTTATTACCAGATGGGTCAATCTCGTCTTTTCGTCTCAACTTCATATCTCTCTGTAAAGCAACCGACAACTTCATATAAGAAGTGAAGGTGGCAGCCTAAAGACTGTAATTTGCCAAAGTAAGCATACTCTGTTCTTCCACTTTTTAAAATCGAATTAATTGTTGGATTCTTGATGATTTTAATTGTGTGTTTTGGGGGAAATGAAATGAAGGTTTATAGGGAAATTGTTGGTGGAGAAATCGAAGAACAAGAGGCTTATGTTCGTTGGAGATTCGTTGAATAGAAATTAATGGTGTGCATGGTTCAATCCATAGTCACAGGATTCGCCAAAGTAGTCACGATCCACGTTCCAAACGGCTCGATCCCAAACGGGGTACGATTGTGTACCGATCGCCGACAGAAACGCCCTCCGGTACGTCATGCTTGCGATCCCACCAATTCTTTAAATCGATACCCGAAATGTGAAATTGGCAAATTGGATTGCACAGAAACGCGATTGGGATCGGGAATTTTGGTTTTGGAACGCTGATTTGTGAAATTGGCGGGAAATTGTTTTTATCCGGAGAAAAGTCACCGACGCTTGATTTCTTCCTTAAGCCCTCGATTCCATGTTAGGTGTTTGGACTTCCAGATCTGATTCTTCTTTATCACTTTTAATAATATATAATAGCTATAACACTTATCCAATATCATCACTTCACCATGATTTCACTTTTGTTCTACACCTTTCAGGAAGAGTTGTTGATGGAAGAGAGATGATGGTTTAATTTGCCAAATATGGGCCTAATGCTGAAAAAATGTGAGTCACATTCACATATAATCTAATATATTTCTAAATTCTAAGAATCAGATATGAAAAAGTATATGGTTGTTTGACTAATGTGGTTGTTTTTATTCTTGTTTTAGTCACAAGGGAAGGATACTTGAACCAGTAGAAAAGCTGAAGGGTGGATTAAGGAGCCGAAGTCCTAGACCAAGGTATGATGAGAATGTAGTTTTGACCATTCTACCCTTGTATTGGAGTTGATGTTTACCCAATGTAGTTCCAGGTATAGAGATGAATACAAGGGCTACAGGAGGATAAGTCGCAGCAGTAGTAGGGACAGGTATTATGGAAGGGACAAAGATCGTTACAGAAGTAGGACCCTCATGCAGTAGGAGTAGGAGCCCTGATTATCATAGAAGAAACAGGAGGGGTAGATATGATGATGATTATGATGATGAGAGAAGCCCAAGTAGGTCTCCTATAAGGTAAAAAGACGTAAATGCCCTTATCATTAAAAATAGCATCCGTAAAAAGTTTTGTTTGTCTGTTTCAAGTTGATGTTTCATTAGAAACCTGATGGACTATTAACTATTCTATATGTGTTTGTTACATACATAGAAGTACTAGTGTTGAAAAGACTAGAATGCCCTTATCATGTGATGTGTTAATAAACTGATGGATTACACACAAGCAGGTCTCCTCCACGTAGGAGTAGGTCACCTTCTAGAAGCAGAAGCCCTGAAGGAGGAGGAAATGAGAAAGCATCAACATCATCACCCTATTCCCATGGTAGAGCTAATTCCAGAAGCCCTTTGCAGCGTTCTGATTCCAATGTAAGTTTTTTTTACCTGTGGAATCATTGATTCCGAGTGTTGATATTTTTTTATTGATTACTTTTTATCTTATCTTTTATATATTATTAATTATTATTAACCCTTGGTTGTGGTATAATATGTAGGGTTTTCCTGGACCAATGGGGTTGATGAGTACTAGTCATTTGGAACAAGAAGCTGCAGTACTTGCTTTGTCAACTTTGATGACCATAGCTCCTGCAGAAGTTTATGCAGAATTTGAAAAGGTAATTTTTATTTATTTATGAACTTTCAAAGCAACTTTTATTGTTTTACATCACTTGAATTTTAGTGCATTAGGTCGTATAATATGTTGAAATGTTGAACGTTTTATGATGAGATTGTTTCAAATAAGGGAAGTAGAATAAAGGATAAATTAGTTCATAATGTCTATGAAACCCTGTATACCCTTCTCTTGAACGGTAAAATAAATTATAGAGGCAAGATAGAACAAAGGATTATGGGGTGGCTGAATTATTCCATTTGGATCCTCATTACACAATAAGTTTATGTTTGAACCATATAAAAGTGTGTCTAGCTTTGTATGATCCAGTTGCAGCAAAAGATAAATTATTCAATTTTTTCAGCATCTGTTGTGTATGGTGACAGTTTTGTTTAGGTTGCAGCCACTAAGAATGTATCAGCTTTTTTAGCATCTGTTGGAAAGTGAATGTTCAAAAGGAAAAAACGATATAAGTGCACATTTGTTACTATGCTAATATGAATTGAGGATTAAGCTATTAGTTTCTAAATCACAAACAGTGTTTGCTGCCTTTCTTAATCTGTTTGAATACGAAATCAAGCCTGTGTTTATATTTGATTTGATTGTTTATGTGAGTTTTTGGTCGATTTTGGTTTAATGTTGTGATTAAAGTAGGGTTTGTTAGAATATAATGTTACAGAAATTATCCTGATGGGTCTTGACACATCATGTTTGTTAATTATTTAGAAAAATATTATAAATTATCTTTGATTTCATGAGAATATAAATGCTTGTTTGTCATATTCAATTCACATTTGGTAAAATGTTGTGTCCACATGATACTAAGAAATACAATTCTGAAATTGACTTGGGCATAAACATGTTATTTTGATCCAGAGAAAAAGAAAAATAGCCTAGATAATTAGCAACTTATAAGTAGGTTGGTTGGTGTTATGTGAAAGTGAAAGGGGTAAGTGAAATTTGATAGTGATTTGTGTTTTTTTAGTCACATTGCATCGGACTCAATTCCAGCTTGGAAATGGTGGTTTGTTTGGTGCTAGTTATATTCAGGTAAAAGATTTCCCATCTCTTATATTAATGTTTGGTTTTAATGTTTGGCTTATTACATTACTTTTGTCTCCTTTGTTGTATTGATGAGGCTTAAGCATGCTGGGCTGTTAATGTTCCTATTCGTTTTCATTTATGCAGGTAACAATCTTGTTGAAAGGACTTAAAAATCAGATATTAATGGTAACAAGTTTAACACTCGAGTCCATACGATTAGATGTTAATGGTAACAAGTTTAACACATTTGTCATTGTTATACATACAAATTGAATGCAATGGATTGTATTTTTTGTATATGGTATTTTATTTCTATTATGAGAGATTAAATGCAAATTTAATTTATAAATTAATAAATATATAAATATATATTTTTTTAAAAAAAATTAAAATTACGATACGCAAAAATGTGTGTCGTCTTCATTTATGACATGGCCTTTCTTGACTGGTGCTTCCTTGATACGCATTGCGTGTCATAAACACGCGCGTCGTAAGGTTATGACACACAAATGCGTGTCGTCTTCCTTTATGACAGGGCCTTTCTTGATACGCATTGCGTGTCATAACCGCGCGTCGTAAATGCGCGTCATAAATGCGCGTCGTAAATGCGCGTCGTCTATAGACGACGCGCAAAAGCGCGTCATCTCTCTTTATGACAGGGCCTTCCTTGACGCGCAATGAGCGTCGTAAACGGCCTTTTTTCTAGTAGTGAAACAATATTCAGATCACCAATGAATTTCATCATCCATTCAACTTCTTGAGTTGCCTCAGACACAACTATATATTCATATTCTATTATAGAGAGTGCAACCATAACTTTCTTTAAACATTTCCACGTAATGGTTCCTCTATTAAGTGTAAACATGTGTCCTGACGATGATTTTTAGTTATCTCGATCAGTGTTGATGCTAGCATCAATGTAAAATCTTATAGTAATATCTTCCTTAACTACTCCAAAAACTATGAACTTGTATTTAGTCCTTCTCGAGAACTTAAGTATGTTCTTTACAGCAATCTAATGTTTTTCACCAGGATTAGCTTGATACCTACTAGTTAAACCGATATCATAAGATACATCCGGCCATGACATGTCATAACATACATAATTGAACCTACTAATGAAGCATACGTTATGTGACTCATTCTTTTGATCTCATCTTCAGTACCAGGGCTATCAGCCTTAAAAAGAATGGTTTCAGGCGGTATGGGTACAATTCCTCATTTTGAGTTATCCATTGAAAAGCGTTTTAATACGTTATTAATGTATGTGCTATGACTCAAACCAAAGAGACTTTGGGATTTATTTATATACATCCTAATATCGAGTATGTATGTAACATGTGACATCCCAAATTTCACAGCCAGAAAAGATCGATTTGTTTATGCTGTGTTTTAAAAATCAGAGTTATTTTATTAAAAGTGTTGCGGAATTTGTTCCCAAAATATGATAAAGATTTACCAAAGCTTTTTCGTAGAAATGTATTTCATTAAAAAGATTCCGGATGTCATGTTCGATACAGACCAAAAGCATAAACATAATAAAATAAACATTATAGTAATTATTTATAACTACTGACCTATAATCCAAAATCTCTCATTATGCCAGCCAACTTATGCTCTCATGCCATAACCTGTACTACAAAGAAAACTGAGTGGGTCAAGCTTGGGAGCCTGGTGAGCATACAGTGTTTTCAACCCATAAATTTATATCATATATGCATATATATTAGAACTCACAAACTTATATAATTTTAACATATAAAACAACTCTTATCCCACCCCGTCGATCCTCATAATGACACGATCTAAACTCTCGTATCAAAATTTTCCTCTTTACCTGATCCCTACTCACAAATCTAAAACTAACCTCTTGATCTGATCCATACTCCCGCATCTAAAAACTAATCTCCTTATCTGATCCATACTCCTGGATCTAAAACTATGTCGAATCCATACTCTCGGACTACGGACAATTAACTATGTCTTAATCCATACTTCCAGATTAATAGAAAGTTTATCTCGTTTATTGACAGTATCATTTTTGAGACCCCTCTCGCAGTACATGTCAATGGGTTTTTAGAGTACAACGGTGAACATCAAGTTCACAACACCTACAAGTTGCGAGCCTGCTTATGTTCCACTGGACTGTCTAGAATAGTCTTTGGATTTCATCCCTACTATGCTGGATGACGGGGGCCATCGTTTGAGTAAAGGTTTCACTCATTTTTCACCTATCACCCTCACCTCAATATCTATATCACCTTTTATCTCATTATCCAACTCATCTTTTATCACGCACCAACTATCTCATCTACCCCTGTTGTACCCAACATATTTGTAGATACCAAATACATATATAGTTTAACTCATTTAAAAACTATATAAAACATCCATTCCACACTCATCTCAAATAAACAACAATATATAAACACATAGCACGTTTTTCATAGCAAATACTTCATATTTATATGTGCGAAGATGGTGACTACACACTCACTCATAACACAGATGTAATACATTCAACAAATACTTTTTATTAAATCATGTTTATGAAAGGGACTATTCACTCACTTGATTAGACGATGCTCGAACAACACTATGTCTTTTCGAGTAGTAATTCTTCAATTAAACCGGGATATCTTCACACACCAGGCTTCTCGTGAGCAGGGCTTCGACTAGACAAATCTGTTTCTCGGGATCTTCGGAGCGTCGGGACTCGCTTCGGGTATCGGGATGATATCAGGGCTTTGGAGGGTTGAAAGTATGCTTAAAGATGAGTAGAGTAGGAGAGAGGTTGAGAAATTATCAACCAAAGCCGGCTTCCTTCGGTTTCTATTTATAGGGCTGAAATTTCAGATTTCACGTCATGGACCATCATTTCACGTCGTAAGCTTGGTTAGGCATAGGTCATTGCGTTCGTCATCAGACTACATGCTCTGTCAAGCTCCAGAAGGCGTCAGAAGACATTTCACGTCGTGAACACTGTTTTCACGTCGTGGTCTCTGACACGGCTTTGGGGTTCGCACCCTGAACTTCAGAAATTCATAACTTTCATATACGATCTCCGTTTTTGACGTTCTTTATATCCACGCATAAGTGAGATTATTCTTTACAACTCTCGTTTAGACTCCATTGGCTAATTTTGAATTTAATTTTTATTATATTTATTTTTAGTAAGCCATGACAGAAAAACTCCGTTGTAAACTCATAACTTCGTCATCCGACGTCCGTTTTCGTATGTCTTTTTACCCTTGGACTACTATCAACGAGAATTTCGGTTTTCGTTTAGATTGTTTCGGCTAGAAATCACTCGATCTCATATTCGAACTTTGGGTTGCATACCACTAAGTCGAAACTTAGAAAAACTCATAACTTCCTCATACGAAGTCAGATTAGGATGTTCTTTTTATGCACGCTCTCAGTTTAACGTATTCTATGACTTGTATTTAGATCGCTAAGGCCAAATATCACTCTGTCATAAATTCACTATTTACGTCGTGCTTTGTCATGCCAGTTTTATCGCAAAACTTCGACGAGTCATAACTTCTTCGTGATAACTCGGATTTTGGAATTCTTTATATACTGGAATCCATGTCACGACCACTATAACTTCGTTAGGATTATTCATTCTAAATAAAATTCTATCAAAAAGTCATTTTTGATGCTCATTGTCTCTAAATTGACTAGCCCTGATCTACGGGCGTTACACAGCATCCCTTAGATCTTTTATTTGAAAGGACTTATTAAGGTAATCCTTAGTCTCTTTCAGTGTTAGGATGTCTTTCCCGATTAGTAATTTGTCATCGACATATAGGATTAGAAAAATGATTTGGCTCCCAATTGCTTTGATATATACACATGGTTCATCAAGACATTCTAAGAAACCAAACATTTTGATATTCTCATCAAAATGATGATATCAAGTCCTAGATGCTTGCTTCAATCCATAAATAGACTTGAGTTTGCACTCCTTCTTTAGGTTATATGGGTTGATTAAACCTTTAGTTTGTTCCATCTAGACATCTTGCTCAAGATATCAATTAAGGAAAGGTGTTTTAACATCCATTTGCCATATCTCATAGTCATAATATGTAACTATGGACATGATAATCCTAATATATTTAATCTTGGCAACTGGCGAGAAAGTATCATCATAATCAGTGCCTTGAATTTGAGTATACCAATTTATGACAAGTTGTGCCTTAAGTGTTGGTACATTCCCATCCATGTATATATTCTTCTTGAGAATCCACTTGGTTCCAACAACCCTGTTATTAGGAGGTAATTTAACCAGATTCCATACTTGATTGTCATTCATGGACTGGATTTTTGCTCTCATGGCTTCAAGCCATTTATCATATATGGATCTGCAATAGCTACCTTGAAAGTGATGTGTTCACAGT